CAGACACATGGGTCCACCGGGGTGGAGGTTGGCATTGTCTATAATTTTTCCTCATTGGTATATCAAACTTGATATCTTCACTGTTTTTTTCTTCCTAGGAAAACTAATATGAAGGCTAATCTTCATTGTCCACTTGACAGGTTCAGAATTACCTAGGACATAGATTTCTGAAAGTATCTGTAGATGTAGATGGACAACTCACCCTGAATGTGGGTGGTATCATCCCACAGGGTGAGGCCCTTGACTGTATAAAAGGTGAAAGGAAAAAGCAAGTTGAATGCCAGCATTTATCTGTCTCTGTCTCCTGACTGTGAACACACTGTGGCAGCTGCTCTTGTCACCACAGCTAGAGCCTCTCACCCAAATATAATTCCCCCACCATGATGGACAGTATCCTCAAACTATGAGTTAAAATAGACCCTTTTTTCCATGAGTTTTGTTTCAGGTGTTTTGTCATAAACGAGATAAGTAGCTACTACAGGTAGAAACAGAAATGCCTTCAACGGGAAGGAGACCTTTTCACTCCCTGATTATTGGTCAGAGGATAGGCAAATAGGAATGCCCCTGGAGCAGAGCAGGTTAAGAAGAGCCAAGGTTGCCATGGAAGGACTCATGCCTTCATTGTCAGTGACATGAAGGAAAGAGCAGCAGGCTTGTACCTTGCAGAGGCAGATGGACTCCTCAAGTTGTTCTTTAATGAGCACCATGATTTTGAGCAAGTTACAAAACTTTTCTGAGGTGGATGCCTAACCTAGTAATCAGAGCATTTCCATATTACTCCTGTGGTTATTAAGGAGTATTTGAGAAAATCATTTTTACTGGGTATATTTTATATTAATGGCAATTTTCCTTGCTACATAGTTGCATATTAAAAATCTCACTTCTCTTCAATGGCAACTAGGATAACATTGCATCTCTCTAGCCACTGTCAGAGATCCGTCATGATCAGCCTACTTCTCCGTGTCGGTTTTCTTCTCTTATCAGAAAGCTGGGAGTGAAAACCTAGCTATCATAAGCAGTGGAAGTGTCCCATCTTATCACAGTTGGGGGCGTCATACTTTGGGATTAACCGTTATGTTCAATTACCCTTCTGTATTCATTTCTACAGGATCATGAACCAAATACTAACTACAGATCAAAGGTCATTTTCTTTCTTGCTATTTCCCCTTCATTATCACCACCTCATGGTCAAAACACAATGTGTGAATCTCCTCAGCAAAAGAAATAGCAAGTTACTGCTTGGCTGAAAAGATGAAGTAGTTCATCAACTCAGTGGTCAGCATTAAGAGACTTCAACGCCTCTTCAGCCCCATTCCTCTGAGTGGGGAGCTCCTGGCAGCAGCATTAGTATTGCTTGGGAGCTTGAGAAACATGCACTTCTACAGCCCCCAGGCACCATCTGCAACCAGATACAATCTGCTTAATCTCTGGAGTAAGGCCCAGAGTCTGCCATTTACAAGATTTCGAATTGACGATACACATTGAAGTTTTAGAGATATTCCTCAGCAGTGGTGGCTGTCAAACATTAGTGATTAGAATCACTTGGAGGCTTCCAATAGCTTGCTAGACCCCATCACAGGAGGTTTGGAGTCTGGGATTCATGAATGAGGGGCAGGAGCAGAGAACCTGCACATCTCCCAGGCTTCCACTAATGATGCTCCTGGTCCAATGATCGTCATGCACATCCACAGGTAAATTCACAAAGCTTTTTTTCTTAAATCGTTTTACCACAAAGAATGAAATGTGCAAGGATATTTTTCTAAAAGGAAAAGAGAAACAATACAAGACCTAGCAGATTATGCTTAAGCCTGACTTGCCCATTAACTGTCTTGGTATGTTAGAGACAGCACACCTGTTCACTACAGATGGAAAGCTACTGCCTTTCTTCGTGGATTACTGAAAGTTATTTTTGGAGCATATTTTTAATTTATGAGCATGAGTGTTTTGCCAGCATATAGATAAATGTATCCATACCATGC